TGCATCCATCCATCCATCTGTCCATCCATCCATGTATCTATCCATGCATGCATGCATCCATCCATCCATCCACCCACCCATCCATCCACCCACCCATCCATCCCTTCTTACCACTCAGAGCCTTGACTCTGGTTCTGACTATTACATCAGCCTCCAAGCTGCTCTCCCCACTGCCAGGCTCTTTGCTCTCCAATCCAGCCTCCACACAGCTGCCCAATTGATATTCTTGAAACACATATTTGGCCCTGCACCTCCCTGCAGAAACCCTCAGTGGCTCCCCATCGCCTCTAGGATCAAGCACAGTCTCCTCAGTCTTGCATGCAATGCCTTCCCCAATAAGGCTTTCACCTCCCTTTCTCTTCTCCCATCCCATTCCTCTGTGTCCCCATTACATTGGTCTGCTGGCTGTTCCTAGCGCACAGCATTCGGCTGCCTGACTGCTTGTCCCTTGTGCCTGGAATGCATGTTCTCACCTCTGTCTTCCTTCAGGGCACAGCTCCCCTGTTATCTCTTCCTTGGGCTTTTCCTGACTCACATTGTCGCTCACTCCTTGAAATTCCTTTCTCTCTATTTTGTGCTTACTGACTGATGCTTCCTCCCTCCTCAGGCCGGGAGCTCTTCCTTGCCTGCTGCGTGTGTGCACATAGCAGGCATTTAGTAAGTGAAGCCCAAAGGACAGGAAGATAGCATGTGGGTCCAGGGCTGTCCCAGCACACTCTAGAGTATTGTCCAGTTTCTTTGTGGTGTCAGCACGCTGCCTCAGCACTCACTAGCTGTGGGACTCTGGGCACTCTGCTTTCCCATCAGAAAATGGTGATGACCATTGTCTCCTTGATAGGGCTGTAGGAAAGATGAGCACTGGTATGACAAAGATAAGTTCTGCAGAGAGAGGAGATCCAACTTGATAACGAAAGGGCTGACTACATAGATGGGGGTATCGTCTGCATAGAGATGACAGTTGAATGTGCGTGTATCTTGTATCAAGGTCACTTTTGCAATAGCTCGTTTTATAGTTTTGTTTTGTTTTTTACTCCAGGGCCAGTGCTCTATCCACTGCACCACAAATAGTATTTTCTTGTGTTGGACGGGGCATAGAAATCTTCATTTTATGGAGACATTTCCTTCATAAACAAATTTGATGTATTGCTGTCATGTATAGAGCTTGGCATTTGTGATTTCAGTAGAGAGGCTTTGTGGAGAAGAGAACTCATTTGGGGGGGGGGATGCTGCTTGATTGTTTTGGAAGCCAGTTCCCCTGGGAATAACTTCACAAAATAATCAGAATTTGGATGAGTGAATTCAATAATTTGTCCAATGTTTTCATGGCAGTGAAAACCAAATATTCTTTATGTGCCTACATTTTTATAAAATGTTGTTCAACTACACCCATCTGCATTCAGTCTTCCTGGTGATGTGACATTTGATCTGCGGGAACTAAAGTCCTAAGAGCCTCCTTATGAATTCTCCCATGAGCAGTAAGGGAATATTTTATTTGCTAAGACAAAGCACACCAATGACTTCCTTTCCTCGTAGCTTGCCTTCCCACCTCCCTGAGGGGGCCAGTCTTGGGGGCCACAAGCGGGCCCTTCGCTGGTAGCTGCTGCTGCTCACAAGAAGCAGCCCACGCACCACTGGAGAGTCGGATTGCCTGTGGCAGCAGCACCAGTGCGTGCCCCCTCGCTCCCAAGGACGGCTATTTTAGAACCTTATCTCGGATTGTGGAGTGAAGGGTCTGTCTTCTATTAAAAGAAGCACAGACATTGCGGAGCAGGTGGAGAATTTTTTTCTGGAGGGGTGTATAACAAGGGGTCTTCAAATCATGTAGGGCTGGAATCTGACTGGAGGAACTATTTCCATGCCACCCAGTTGTCCTCTGTGAGATGGGACAATGGCTTTGTTCTTCCCTTTTCAAAAAAAATTGTCTCTTTTTCCTTTATCAAAGACTTAAGGCAGATATTTACAGAAGAAATACAATGCAAACTGTGACTCAGAGGAACTCTGAGCTCCCAGCAGCCCAGGGTCCCAGCAGGGTCTTTAGCAGCAGATGACAAAAAGGTGGAGTCTCTTCTCCAGGAACAAGTACATTTCCTGAGCCCTTGGTGAACCAGTTCAACTTTCCATTGGCCTCTCTTGAACCCCTGGCTCCTTTGTCATTGCCTGCCATCTACTCCTCTCTCTTCCTTCTTCCCTGTCTCACAGGAGGAGGTGGCCTTGCTCCTGACCAAAGCAGAGGTCCCATTCCAGAGGTCCCATGTGTCTCCTCCAACAGATTGCCTCTTCTGTCCTTTGTAGCTAAGTTCCTCAAAAAGGCCACCCACAATCCGCGTCTCCACTTTCTCTCCTCTCACTCTCTTCCAAACCGCTTTCAATCTGACTTCTGACCTCATCATTCCCTCAAAACTGTTCTTTCCAAAATTACCGGTGATCTCTTGGTTGCCAAATCCAGTGGCCTTTTCTCAGGCCTCATTCCCCTTGACCTCTCTGCAGCTTTGGCTATTGATCCCTTTCTCCCCTTGGATGCTCTCTTTTCTCTCATTGTCTTTCCCCCTAACTCGCCCCCACTCCTATATTTCCTGTTACTGTAGGAGGCACCCCCATCCTTCCAGCACCTCAGCTCCCAACCTAGGAATCATCCTGGGCTCCTCACTCTCGATCCCCAGATCCAAGATGGTGGCAAGGCCTGCCGATTTCACCTCAGCAGCATCTCTGGCATCTGTCCCCCTCTCTCCTCTCATGCTGCTACCACCCATCCCCCACCCCCACCCGTCCAGGCCCTTATCTCCTCACCCCTGCAATAGCTGCTGAGGAGTCTGTCTGCTTCATCTCTCCCCACTCCAGTCCATCCTCCTTTCAGCTACTAAAGTGATTTCCTAAAGGCCAGGTCTGACCATGTCATCCTCCTGCTCAGTAAACTGCAGGGGCCCCCTATTGTCTCCAGGATCAAATACAAAATGCCCTGCTTGGCATGCAAAACCCTTCCTGACTTGACTCCCTCCTACCTTTCTAGCCTGATACCTGACTCCCTGACACGTGCCCTTCAACCCAGTGACCCCGGCCTCCTGGCTGCTCCATCTCTAGGCTCTGGGCATTCTCTCTGTCTGTCCCTCATGCTTGGAATACTGTCCTTCATCTCTGCCTAATGTTTTTTCTGGTTTCCTTCAAGTCTCAACTAAAATGCCATCTTTTACCGGAAGCCTTTCCCTAGCCCGTCTTAATGCCAGTGTCCTCCCTCTCTTAATTATTTACTATTTGTTTGCATATTGACTCCCTCATTAGATTGTGAGCTCCTTGAGGGCAGGACTGGCTTTTGCCTCTTTTTGTATCTCCAGCACTTGAGGCAGTGCCTGGTATGTTGTAGGCACTTAATACCTGCTTTTTGGCTGACTTTACCGACTAGTATAGTTCTAGATCCCAGTTCCTTTGCAATCCTTTGCAAGTATCAAGAATATAAGGCATTTTAGGAAGTCTGGTGTTAATGAGAAAGGCCAAGGATCCTTGGTTTTACCCATAGTAGGTAGCAATATGGAAAATGTGAAGGGGTTGGACAGATTATGTTTAAGCTCTTCCTGCTCCAGATCCTGTGATCGCAAGACTTCCCGAAAAGGACTTCAAAGCCCAGTTGGGGGAGGGTCTCTTAACCTGGGGCCCTTGAACTTGAAAGGGAACAAATTGCATCCTGATTTTCACTAGAATTAGCTTCCTTTGCAATCCTATGTATTTTCTTTTATGCATCCGAAACACGAGGGTGAGAAGGAATCCACAGGCTACAGCAGCCTGCCAGAAAGGCTCGAAGAATGCCCTCACCCTTCTGCTTTACCTCCCAGAGGCCATTCTGTGAAGGGACAGAGATGCCCCAGGAGCCGGGCATACGGATCTCTTGTGATACTCTCTTTTCTCTAGTTGTCTTTCCCCCTAAGCCCGACGCCCGACCCCCCCCCCCCAGGCCCCCAGCCCTGACCCCAGATGGCTGGGTGAGTCCCTTCACTTCCAGTGCTCTAGTCTGGACCACGAAGACTCGAAATTGCAGCAAGGGTGTCAGTGCGCATTGGTAGAGGGAATTTCCTCTTCTGGGAATTACCCCAGCAGTGAAAGCACAGGCCAGTCCCGGTCCCTGTGGTTTATTCTACCTTCCTACACCAGTCATCATCGTCAGGTTTGCCCAGCATTTTGTCAGCAGATTTTATTGAATCTCCTAGCAACCTCGGGAGGTGGGTGCCACTGATAGATACTATTTCCATTTTACCAACCGGGAAGCCGAGGCTCCAAGACGTTTAGAGATTCGCCCATGGTGACACAGCTAAAGTGCCTGTGTATTTCAGTTGTCTCCTTCGAGCCTCGTGACCCCCCCCCCCCACTCAACCTGGGGACGGGAGGAGAAACAGACAGGAAATTAGTGAGCCCCCCACTGCCTGTGCCTGCCCTCACTGCCAAGTCGGCCAGCCCACCCCACCCCCGCAGCTTCGGAGGATGTTTCCTGTCAGTATCTTCAATCTAACTAGGTTAAGGCGTTCTGGACTTGTGGCCGCGGTTTGGGGAGCCAGGGTGACCCCCGTTCTCTTCGCTCTCATCCCCAGACGTACCAGGAACACGGATTCTTCATTAAACTCTGTGGTCAGTAGTGTAGCGGGGTGACCCGCGGCTGGCCCCCGCCCCCCGCAGGCAGCCTCCTCGGCGGGGAGAGCTGGCAGTGGCCCCCAGCCCGCACGGGCAGCCCCCCTGCTCCACTCCCTAGGGGCGGGGCGGGGAGCCCGGGCAGCGGCATCAGCGGCCGCGTGCTTTGGAACAGCTGCAGGGCCGGCGCTGGGCCCGCCTGGAATGCGGGGCGGCAGCGCACCGGGACTTTTATGGAAACTTGCTGATCCAGACGCGGCGGCGGCAGCGGCGGCCAAGGGGGTGTACTCAGCAGCGGCGGCGGCACTGGGAGTAGCAGCAGCGGCGGCGGCGGCGGCGGCAGCAGCAGCAGCAGCAGCAGCAGCAGCGGCGGCGGCGGCGGCGGCGGCAGCCCAGGGGCCCCCCACTTTCTGGCCTCCGCCCGCCTCGGGATCCAGACGGAAGGACGCGTGCGGGGTGCACGGAACTCCCTTCTCGCCCGCTCCCTTGGAGGTAAGAGCGCTTGGGGCCACTTGGGTGGAGGATGGCAGAGCCCCCAGGACACGTCCCTTCCCCCATCCCCTGGCTGCGTGGGGGTCCCGCACTCAGCGTCCCCTTGCCAGCTGCTAGCGGCGCCCCTCATCAGCTCCCCGGGGTTGCTATTTCTGGCTCACTAACCCCCCTCCCGGCCTCAGTCCCAGCTCACTCTCTGTCTCAGGGATTGTCTCCTCCGGCTCGGGACCCGATCGGGCTAGTGGGTGGGTGGGGGCGGGGCGGGACTCGCTCGGCCGAGAGATGTGGGCGCCCTGGGGGGCGCCCAGTGGGAGCCCCGCCCGCTCCCAACCTCTTACTGGGTGGCCGCCGCCCGGCATCTGAAAGAAGGCTCCTGCCACGCCGTCCCTGAGGCGGCACCGACTGGGGAGTGAGGGCCGGGAATCTGGGACTGCAGCGCCCTTCCTTCACCAGGCTCCCCATCTTGGGCTTCTGCCCGAGGTGGGGGTGGGGGTAGCTGGGGCTGGAAGCCGAGACCGGTATTGGCCTGTCTGCCTCCCTCGGGGCCCACTTTACGTCTTGCCAGAGCTGCCGAGGGTGGCAAGAAGTCACAGAAGGCTGATGGGCGTGGGGGTCCGGCTGCAGTCCCTTAGGGGTCCGAGGACCCAAGATTTAGCTGGAAAGAGCCCTAAGAGCCGTCTACTCACGTCCGATCTCAGATACTTAATTAGCTCTAGATGGGGGAGGACAGACAGGGCAGGAGTCCGGGAAGCTCCCAGCTTTGCCCTCTCCCCAACAGGACACAACAAGAAAAAGGTGTGGGGAGTCCCTTCAGAGTCTTCCCCTCAGGGAAGAAAAAGACCTGGAAGGGTGAGGGAGTAAGGAAACCAATGCCCAGCAGGAGAAGTCACTTAACCTCTGTTCACCTCAGTTTCCTCAGATGAAAAATGGGGAAAATAATACCCCTAACCCTAAATGCGCACCGCCCTCCCAGGGTTGTTGTGAGGATCCAGTGAGATACTGTCTGTAAAGCACTTAACACAGTGCCCGGCACATAGTAGGTGCTACAGAAATGCTTGTTATTAATTATTATTATTATGTACTATGAAGAAAGGGAGGCTCAGTGATTCGCTAGAGGCAGCCCAGAGATGGCCAAGTTTGGAACCCAGTCCCTTGCCTCCAGCCCCAGCCCCAGCCCCTCATCCCCCCACACCCCCATCTTCACTTCTTATTTACCGCAGACTCCCCAATGTCAAGGCAGGGAATTATATATTTGATAAAGCAAAACTAGTGGGGAGATGTTACCACAGGCTGTCCTTGGGAAAGGCACAGACTGGGACGTGGCGAGCAGCAAATGGAAGTTTCACTCATCTGCTTCTTTTGTAGTTGAATTCAGGGCTGACCTCGTTTAATAAAGTCCAAGTTCGGTCACAACGTGAGGCTGTCTATGATAGCTCGTTAAATAAAGGCTCACGTGGATGTTGACTTAGTCCCTGTGTGCCTGTGCAGACCGCCGGGAGCATTTTTACGTGATGGCCTATTCGTGGGATAATTTATTGCACTAAACCAGTGATCTCTGATTTCCTGGGTATGGGCACTTCCCTCTCTGCCCTAGGCAGCTTGAAACTTGTGAGTAACTTGTAGATGGGGTTGGAAAGGTGGGTTAAATGCTTGACTTAGGACTTCACTGACGCAGGGTCTTGGGTCTAGGAAGTAAACAATTAGGGTGTGGGGGAAGGGCAGTGTCTCACGTTCTATCCACAACTTCAAACTTCTGAACTTGCTACTATAAGAAAAATAATCCTGTGTTTTATTTCGTTAAATGAGGGACCCTAGAAAGTGCTTTGAGAGGAACAGGACAGCCTCCCTGACTAGGCTGTAGCACTGGCTGCCTCTGCCTCATTCGCCCCGACTCAGTGGTGAGAGTTGAGGTGGGAGTGGAGTTGGAAACTCCTGGCTCCCTCGGCCATTGCCAGGCTCTCTCTCTTAAATCGCTATAAATGCCAACTATTATTCTTGTTGATAACAGTAGAATAAAGAATGAAATACGTGAATTTGATTGGTAGAGTTGGTAGAAGGTTTAATGCCTTAAATGAGAGAACCTAGGATGGGAGGTGAGGGGAGCGTGGTGGAAGAAAGGCAGACATCACTTTCGAATGAACTTGGATTATTAAATGGAATTTGCTAAGATTCACCCTGAGATTTCTAAGCATCCCCATCTTTAAGAATGGATATTCTGACTGATATGTTGGTGTCTTATGTAGCAACCATTTATGCCTCTGCCTCAATCAAAACAAAACAAAAATCTCACTCTTCCAAACCATCTCAGGCTCAAGAACCCATGGAGCTGGGACTTAGTCATATATTAGAAAGGCAACAAGAAGGCATTAAATGCCTATTATGTGCGAAGCATTGTGCTGAGCTTTACACATAATACCTCTTTCCAGTCCTCACTACAACCCTGGGAAGTAGGTGCTATTATGATCCTCATTTTACCGTTGAGGAAACTGAGGCAGACCAAAGCTGGGGCATTATTTGAACTGGCCTTCCTGATGCCAGCCATCAACTTTGCCACCTAGCTGCTTCTATACTGATGTCAGGAAAAGTTTCTGGCCATCTTCAAACAAAGGCTGAGTGACCACATCGGGTAGATGGGCAGGACAGGATGGCTGCTGGGGTTCTTTGGGTAGTTCTGTCTCAGTGCACAGAAGACAGCCTGCCCTCACCCCAGGCTTTAGTTCTGAAAGAAAATGAAGCCTCCTTTTCCCTTGCTCACATTAAAATGGAAACTGTGCTATTTAAAAACCCCCAAGCCCACCTCCTGCTCTGTAAGCCCCATCATCATCAGAAGTGTGTCATGCTGGCAGATCCATCTTTAGCATCAGTGAGAGAATGTTCTGCAGCAGCCATGGGAGCTGCGTTCTCCCACTCCCCGGGCTCCCCCCACCCACCCCCAAACTCTGAAACTTCCTTTGAAGTATTCAGGTTAGGGCTGTATTTGTGAACAGAACTGGAACTGAATAGGAGTATCTGGAGGAAGAAAATTAGGGTAAGAGCCTTAGGTTCAAGGCTAGGCTCGATGCTGAAATGTCAGTCTATAAATCTCCTGCCCTGTGACTGATTACTCAGAACTGCAGTGACCCTTGGTGACTCACATTCTAAAAAACAAACAACAAACCCCCTTGTATCTTCTAGAAAGTTGGAGGGCAGTTCAAATGCTTGCTCAAACATAAGTATGAAGCTTGTTAACCGCCGCTGGGGTTGGGGGGAGCACCGAAGAGAAAAGAAGGGAGAAGAGAAGATGGTGGCAGGTGGGCTGCTCTCTGCCAACCCTGCTCCGTAGCTAACAAACTCGATTTCATCTGAAATCGTCCTTTCCTGCTCCCTCCATCTTCATGAACCTTTCTGGGCCTGGTTGCCCTTTCACCCATCCACTGGAGAGCTGGAATCCACCCTCACTGGGTAACCTCTCCCTCTGAGATTCATTCAGGCCACAGGCGTCACCCAGGCAGTTTCCAGACCCTATTCTCTCCCATTCTCCAGGAGTTTCTTCCTTCCTTCTTTCCTTCCTTCCTTCCTTCCTTCCTTCCTTCCTCCATGAGTCCAGTGTTCGGCTCATGGGCCTTCTCTCCTTCCCAACTCCTTTGGCTCTTGAGTGAGGGGCCTTTGACCTACCTATCGATACTCCCTCAACCACCCTAACTTCCCAGTTCCTCAACGTACCTGATTCCCCATAACTGACTTCTCTGCCCCACTCAGTTACATCACCCACAAATGTACCACTTCCACACTTATGAAGTCTCAGGATCCTCGGGTCACAATCTGCTCTCCTCCTGACCCTCCCTCTGCCTTGTGGCCCTCACACTTGTTCTTTACCGCACTCTGCAATCTCTCCACCCCTCAGTTCTTCCCAGGCCATCACTCTGTACTGACCTCCCTTTCCTCCCTTCCCCACCTTGGGCCCTTGGTGAACCAGTTCAACTTACTTCCCTTGCCCCCTTATCCTTTTGAAGATCCTGCCCTTGGGTTATCCTCTATTATTGCCTTGGCTGCGGCTCACATGGCACAATTAGAGAAAATTATGAAAACTTGCTGACTGTCTCCATTTATGTTCCCTCTCATCTGGGTCCCCATTGCTGCAAGGAAATGCTCTGACATCTCCCTCCTTGGTTCACTGTCCCCCTCCCCACAGTGGCTTTTCCACATCTTTTCAGCCCTCCCCAAATCTTCCATCGCTCTACTTCCCCCTGCCCCAGCTGAGAACCTCATCCTCATCTTTCACGGAAAAAAAGTGAAGCTATTGGAAGCGAGCTCTCTCTTCTGCCCTCTGCCTCATCTCACGCCCCTCAGATGCCTGCTGCAGCCCTGTCTCTCTGCCAAGGCTAAGCCTCGGCCTGCCCCATGGATCCCCTTCTGTCCCATGTGCTCTGGCAGGTCATCTCTCTCATCCCCGTTGCTGCTTCTCTGCTGCCTCTAGACACGCCCATGGGTCCCCATCACCCTATCCTTCCATCCCTGCCAGCTGTGATCCCACATCTCTTCTTTGAAAAGTCTGTCTACAGTTGAGGCCTCCAGTTCCGTCATTTTCCTAAGACTGCTCTCTCCAAAGTTGCCAATGATCTTTTAATTACCAAATCCGAAGGCCTTTTTTTCAATCCTCCTTCTCCTAGGCAAGTCTACAGCTCTGGACACTGCAGATCTCCCTCTCCTCCTTGATAACATCTTCTCTCTAGGTTTTTGGGACACCCCTCCCCTGCCTGTCTCTTCTGGTTCTCCTCCTCCCTCTCTGACCACTCCTCCTCCAACTTCTTTGCGGGATTCTCCTCCAAGTCACACCCTCTAATTGTGGGTGTCCCTCAGGGCTCTGTCCTGGGCCCTCTGCGCTTCTTTTATGGTATTTTACTTGGTGATCTTGTTCCATCAACTATCCCCTTTAGTCAGAAGATTCTCGGATGTATTTGTCCATTCTTTACTGCTCTCCTGACCTCCAGCCTCAATCACCAATGGCCTATTTAAGCATC